TATAGTCACCTCCAGCAATAAACTTATTTCCTAGAGCACTGAAAAAAGTGTCAAAGTATTGTTTAAATATTTTATGTTTTGGGGGGCAGTAAATGGCAGAAACTGTGATTCTATTTTGAGGAAAGTCAATAGAAATGTTCGTGGCTTGTAGAAACTCATTGCAGTGTGGATCTAACAGAGAATGTTTGATTTTAGACTTTATTATGATGGCTGTTCCACCATGTGGTTTGTCGTCCGGATGTCTAGTACTGTATGTTGTATATTGTGGAATGTTGAGGTAGCTTTTGCTAGTAAAATGTGTTTCACTGATTAGCATTATGTCAATATCGTTATGACGAAGAAATTGTTTTACTTCTTGGTGGTGCTGCGCAAGACCGTTGGCGTTCCATATACATAGTTTGTAGTATAAGGCCATCATTTTCTCAAAGGTAGAAGGTTTGTCATAATGTTCAGCATAGTGCTCATTTGGTTCATGAGAGTTTTCATCATAGCTTTTAGTTCTTGCATGTCTGTTTGTTGGTTACTTGGAGTAATTGTTTGCTGTTGATTGTCTGACGATAGTCCTCCTTGGTTGTCCCTGTGGTTTCTGTTGCTGTTTATGCTTCTAGAAGTAGCATCAGAGAAGGAAACGTTTGGACGGACGAAAGGTTGAGAATTGTCACTAGGTTGAGCGGATTGTCTTTGCCTCAGGGGAGGAAATCTGCGTCGTCTTTCTTCTTTATAAATGGTGCACCCTCTATAGCTGGCTGGGTGATTACCGGAACAAAGAGCACATTTAACGCCGGCGTTGACTGGGTCCTTCCAGGGGCAATCTTTTGTTAGATGCTCTTTGGCACATTTTACGCAGCGTGCGATGCGTGAACAGTAATTTTTTGTATGTCCAAGATTTTGACATCTTGTACACTGCGGAACTTCTCTTCTATGGCGCATAGCTTCTATAGTAACTTTTGTTCTGTAGAGGTATTCGATGGAGTAAAAATCTTTATTATTATTGCTTTGCTCAAGTTCCACTACAAAAATATTAAGTGGAGCTTTTGTAACTCTATGTTTCATTGTGTAGATGCGTACCACCTTGTGACCGAGTGCAATAATTTCTTCTGTAAGTGTTTTGATGTCAGTGCTATGGTGCAAATTTTTCACCACTACTTTAAATGTTCGCTTACACTTTGCTTGATAGGAGTGTAATTGTGTGCCCTTTTCATGTAGCAACTTTAAAACTATATTGTAGACGTGAGCATCTTTGGTATTAATTTTGACTTGATCGTTTCTTACTATTTTGTATGAGTACTGACCTTTTACGCGAGCCTCAAGTAAACCAAATAAAGGTTTAATGTCGTTTACGCCATGAACAAAGATAGGTGGTGTGTTTGTTGTTTGTTTGTCGGCATCTTTTTGAGTTGATGTGCTTGCTAAAACATCAAAGTAGTTGCTAGTGGGAGTTGGGTTCAGCCAGTATTCCTTTAAAGTATGTTGTTCCATTGAGGTACTTGGATTTTCTGACTGTGAGCGTTTTTTATTTTGAACGGTTGTCCAGCCCTGGTTAAGGTCACTAGTATCAATTGATGATTCACTGTTGACATCGTTCATAGCGGTATCTTCCATAACATTTTGACTTGGTTCTAAATTACTATGTTCCATTGTTATATTTTGGCTAATTTCACTAGGAATATTCAGTTTAAGTTGTTTGTTTTCAATTTTATTGATAGTACCAGATTTTAACATTTCTGGAATAATGTCAGTATTTTTTTTAATATTTTTTTCGGCATTTTTGCTAATGCTAGGTTTGATTTTATGTTTAATTTTTGTGTTTCCTAATGACTTTTTTTCACTTATAATTTCGTTAACCGAATAATCTGCATTGTTTGTGTTATATAATGTTTTTATTGCGCTCGATACGCAAGCACCGATTTCGCCGGGTCGAGCCCCGTTAATCTCGGAATTGTTTACCTGCCCGTAGGCAGCGTCACTCATGTCACTAACACTTTTAATTTCACTTAAATTAAACTCAATTGAGTTAATTTTTGATAAATAGAAAATTAAATTCACTTGCTTGTACCCACAAGGGGCACATGGCGGTTTTAGATATCTACACTGTACAGGTATAATATGTTTGTTATTATTTGACTGCAGGTAGACTGGCTTGTTGTAACGTTACTGATAACACTCTGCGATGTAAAAAAAAAAAAAATCCACGAATAAATGACGGATTGTAAAATTTTTCGGTCGACCGACTGAAGATGATCGACTCAGTGTCTCGTATTTTTAGCAGTGTTGACCAAAGTAAAAACGCAAAACTTGAGAAGCAAATTCAATTTAATGATTTCCTTTTGATGAGAAAATAATTGATTTTTGTGATTAATTTTATATAAAAATTAAGTAGTAAACTTTGTAATAAAAGCAAAACATAATACTTATTCTGCTTTCAAAATTTTTCTTCTGCTATTTTCATTTGACAATTAATATTATATCGCGTAGTTCGATTAGCATATTATTACTTTACACAATTATATAATTGTGTAAAAGTAATAATATAATACTGAATATTTTTTACTGCTTAAATACTAATGATATCAGTGATAAATTTTGTACTCTAACGTGTTGTTATTTCAGGCTATGGAAAAACAAGATTAAATAAATGTATTTCGTTTCGTATATTTTTCATTTTAAATGTATTTTGTTTCGTATTTATTTGCCGTCATTTACGGCCAAAGATTGTCGTAGTTAGAAATATCACCCCTTACTATTCAATAAATTATACATTTGAGCTATTCACACTTGAATACGATTTCATTGTTCTGTATCTTTAAAGTAACATTTTTGTATTTTCTGGAAAATACACAATGGTATTTATTTTGTCTTTTATACCTAAAAAAGGTAATAAAACTGCCTGCGAGACAAGAAAGTGACCACTTTCTTCTCAGAGCAAAAACGACAAAAACACTAAATGCCTGTACGAGTTAACAGATTTAATACCAGTTTAAGGAAGTCGGATATGACAAATACTGTGAAACGACTCCACTCGGATTCACTCCGAGGGAGGAGTTGTGTCGGAGTGATAACTCCGGAGTGAGTTACCCATCTCTAATATATATATATTTATATACAGTCAAATCTCGGCTTACACAGCACTCTGGGTACACGGTTTCCATACTACGCGGAGCTAAATATCCGACACCCCTCCGACTACACGGACTTCTTATTACACGGTTTTTGTTCAACAGCCCATAAGTTCCTTGCGCAACCTATGAGTGATCATAGGAACTTGATATCAAAAGGATATTAATGTAAGTTTTGTTATCGACTTTTATCTTTTAGACATGCCTGATTATATAATAACTGCCTAAAACACGTTTGAGCTGACTACTGTGTCGCGCCAATTTTTGAATAAGGTGTCAATGTCATACATACCATTTTGTCCCTAATACTCCTACTTCAAGTTGTATTTCTTGGTCTCCAGACAGCACAATAAAAATGGTGCGATTTGTACCAACTCGCCAAATTTTAATTCTATATAATATCGTCAAAGATTATTTCTGTATACAGTTCCAATTTGAGTTCATTCTGTATTTTATAGTTCAATAATCCGAAATTTACATAAATATTGTCAAAAAAATAAAAAAATGCATTAAATTGTATGATTTAAAATGTTCAATTATCAGAAAAATTAAAAATGAAAAACAAAAATAATTAATTCATGTTATTTCTAGACCAGACCTAAGCAGAAAAGCCTAATTCAACATTGAAATTATTTATTTATTAGAGAGAATGCGTTCACGTGCAAAGAGCGACCAAATATCCGATAGTGACGCGAGCAGCAAAAAGTTTGCGGCGCAACGTACGCTAAAACTATTGATGTTACAGAAAAAACGTTATTGAATAAATTATAGAAAATTTTGTCTAGTTTAATGTTGTATATAGTTATTTTAATGTAATATGTGTCACAAAGGAGATATCGTTGAAAAACTGATTTTGACGCAATTTTTCGAATATGGCGGCGGCAGCGGCAAAAATTCGAGGTCGCAAAGTTGAAATTCGTAAAGATCACATCAAAATCTATAAAATCACCAATTTTCAAATCATCCGGAAAACTCTTAAGGTAACAGCTTTTTTCGCACCAGATGTCTGGGTTATAACCCCAAGTGTGTTTTTTTACATTAATTGAGATATTATATACATTCTAGTAATCACAAAAATTGTTACACATTATTAAATTTTGATAAACTCGGAACGATATAAGATATATAAAATTTAAAATTAGTCGATAATATTAATTCAAACCGAAATTGTATGATTGATCGGTTTTATATCATCTGTCGAAAATGACGCACAATTCTATTTACTCGTCAGCCTGCGAGACAGTAGCTATGACAATATTATGCAGGGCGATTTACACGTCCAATTGAGTCAAAAGAATATTTTAAGAGGCACCTAGTGTGAAATTTTCAAAAAAAATGAATTTGAATTTTTCCATATTTAGATAGGTTACACCTTCAAAAATAGCGAACTAAAATTATAAATTGATATCTTAAATAGTTTCGAGTTACAGCCATTTAAAAGAGTATATATATCGTATATAGTATAACGATCATTTTATCTTTAAGCGCGTTTTTCTCGAAACAGCATTTATCGAATTTGCTGGAGTGATTACTCGGAGAAAATTGATCCGATTGCTACCAAATTTTGGAAAAAAATTAACTTTTTTTGAACATGCCAACATTTTGTCATATTACAAGAATTATTAAAAATAATTTAATTTTAAATACGGTTGAAATATATTTTTAAATAAATTCAAATAATATATTCTAAATTAATATATTCAAACACTACAGAATCATATAATATAATAACCTGTATCTTGGCCCGTTTGTTTATTTTATTATTCTAAACGGTACTCTGAATGTAAAATCATTCCCTTTGACATTTAGTCAAACAAGTCATTTAGTACCAATATCGCCAAATAACTAACAAATCAGTCTACTACTATAAAGATTGCTTCCATTTCATTGTTGTGAATTGGCATTTGGGTCAAAAAGAATCTATATTGAAAAATTGTAACTATATTTTCATAAACTTAAGTGGTTTATTCTAATAACATTTAAAAACCATAATACAACATATGATAAAAACCAGATAAATCCTGTTCTTATAGATGGTTTCTCTAAAACACATATTTCCGTCTAACAAATAAAAGCAACAACGTCTAACAAATAAAAATAAAAAAGTATCTGCGCAAGTTCAATGGCTTGCATGTGTATGTGTGCATGTGTGTGATTGCTTTGAAAACTAGCTGTAAGTGGAATTCTGTCTTAAGGCAATTAAGGCATCGTGCCTTAAGGCAAATTGCTGGAACTTCCCGTACCAAAAATTATTATTATTTTAAGAACAATTAACATTTTTGAAAAAATTTTACTTCGAAAAATAAGATTTTTGAGAAACTATAAATTGGACAAAAAATTACTTTTTTTTGAAAAAAAAAATTTGCTTTATTTTGGCATATTTTGGAAGATCTAAACTTTTTTTCAAAGCAATCAACTGCATAAAGACGAAATATCAAAGCGCGTAAGCGCCGCGTCGTCGTCTAACGCGTAAACATTGGTACGGAACCCATAGGAATGTAAACCGAATTTATACTTATTGTTAAAATCTCTAAAAAATATCTGATAATTTGATGTGCATATGTCTAATGATCATTTTTGACCGCCAAATGGCATTTTTTGGCACACACATACACACACACATACACACACACATATACATCCATTTTTTCTAAGGTATGACAAAATATTCAGAAACCTTTGAAACGTAAAGGTATATAAAAATTCTCATTTTCGATTTTTTGCGATTACTATAACTTGCCCTACGGGAAGTTAAAAATCAAGTTTTTGAGAGAATGAAGCATCCGATTTGAATGATCTGAAGTGGTGATTAGATTTTGACAAAGGCAGGTCCAGCTGTTTTGAAAATACTGAGGTAAATCTGCAAAAAATGGCAAGTTTTGAGAGAACTAAGCATTCGATATGAATGATTCAAAAAACTTTCTGCTTGTAAATAATTGCTTTTGGAAAAAAAAATTTCTTAATTTTTTTCTCCAAATTTTTTTTTTTAAAAAAAATTTTTTATGTCGAAAATAATTCAAAATTTAATTTTATTTTTTGCTAAAGTTCTAAAGTTCATTTATATAATTTATATTATTAATTTTCACTTTGTAGTTCAGTTAATATAACTTTTATAAATATTAGACAATGCTACAATATTTATAATAATCTCTATGAAAGCATTTAATATTTCTCGAACATTTCGTTACGGCACGTTTAGTTTTTTTTTTACTTGATGGTTCGCCCTCCAAGAAATAAATCATACATTTCAATATCAAATCTAAACACCTTCAACATATATATATATATATATATATATATATATAATTTTTTATAACAAAGCAAATATATAAAAATTATTTACCTTAGTTTTGGAGTGAACGCCTAATTTGCTCAAAACAAGATTCTTTGCTGCAGAAAATGCTGATTCAACAATTCCTTGAGCAGTTCTCGGTCCACTAAAATCTTGTGGTGATTTCTTATCTATACTGAATATTTTAATTGTTGGGTATCCTTGCACATTATACTGTTCGCTTAGAGATTTATGCTCAATAGCGTCTACTGCCCCCACCTGTGCCACTCCTCTAAGGGCAAGAGCTGCCTTCGAGTACTCGGGTACAAGCTTCTGACAGCCCTTGCACCATGGTGCATAAAACTGAACTACCCAAACTTTGTCACTATTTAAAACTACATTATCAAAGTTTTCAGGTGTTAGGACATATACATCACTATATGATGAATAAAGAGCAGTGGAAGCCACTATCATTAAGACAATATCTAGAAAAAATTATTAGTGAGATGAATGTTATATTTCTGAATAATCTATAGAATGCATAATATAAGATATACCGCTAACACTTACATAGAAAACGAATCAAGTCTGCCATTCCTACGTTCAATATCAATTTTCTAGAAAATCATATGAAAATATAAATGTTTACCGTTTTTGATAACACTATTTTGTTTTTTTTATTTGTAAGCTTAACGATATATTTTTTTGACATAAAACAAAATAAATTATTCATTTGTTCAACTCGTTCCTATGAGTGATTGACTCCTGTGATTGGTGCCGGTTACAAATATCACAGACTCTACATCCTAAAAGTTGTTTATATGTGGTATTTGATGTTATTGAAAATCAGTGGTTTAATTTAGTTATGAAGCAGAGAATAAAATTGGATACTGACTTGGATCGAGTGATTTTAAATACTTATTATTGTGTTTCAACAACAGATATGATGGATACTATACCTACGGGTAAATATCCAAACGAAGCTGACAAAATGTTATGTACATATATATATATATATATATATATATATATATATGTGTGTGTGTGTGTGTGTGTGTGTGTGTGTGTGTGTATGTATGTATGTATAGCGCCCGCATGCAAATTTTGTTTTAGCGCCCCCCCCCCAGTAATTTTAACTGTTGACGGTTTTTCATTAAAATTATATAAACGTTTACGTTAATTTTTCAATTAATTTTTAATCATTATGGATTTAGTACAGAAAAAATTAGATATAATCTAAAAGCGTATAAAATACATTGATTTTAAATTTATTTAGAAAAGCGAGGCGATTCGCGGGTTGATCATATTCAAATATTTTTAAATTCTCAATTATTTTTAACGTATGTGTAATATTAATATTTGGGTTTTGAAACATTTAACTTATTCATTGTGCGATTTATTCTATGGAGCAAATCACGCCAAAAGAGCAAAGAAAACGAGTCTTTAACTTTTAAACATAACACTCGTATTTCATGTTTCAAATTAAATTTGATTTTAATTAAAGGGTCGAATTTTATTCAGCTTTACTTTTCCATCAGATTCAGAGTTTCAGACTGTTGTTTTAAAGTTAAACTTTTAACGTATTTTTAAAGTATTGTCCAAAGATAGTAAAAGATGCAAAGAAATTACATATTTCCTTAACTATACCGAAACAAACAAATTATATTTGTATCTGTATTATTTCTGCATAGTTAATAATTAAATTATGTATAAAAAAAGCTTAATGATTTTTGTTAATAACTACATTTTGCTTCCATTTTTCATATTTGCTCAATAAGCCTAACCACACATGTCTTCAACGTTCAAAGTTCATCAGTTGTGAAACATTTGCAATAAAAATAAAAGTCACAATTTAATTTTTCGGAATAAACAAGCCATTTTCACAGCACTGACTCCCCATTTTCCACATTCTCTATTATAATTAGTATATATTTCTTTAACAAAATCCATTTCAACTAAATCAGCTCGCCATTTTTCACCAATAACGCTTACATAGAACACTAAATGATTTCTTTTTCGATTCTACGTTAACTTCTAACGCAGAAAAAATTAAGTACATTGAACAATAAGCAGAAGAATAATTTACAAATTTGCAGAGTTATTATTTGGTTAATTGTTTCTATTGATATCACATTGCAAACTGAATATGCTTTTTGCGCTATTAAGTATTTTAGATTTTATATATAAAAACATATATAAATAATATATTATAAATTTCATTTCCGAACCTCGTTGTGGCGCCCCTAAGGCGTGCGCCCGCATTTTTTGCATGCATTGCATTCAAGATAGAACCGGCCCTGTATATATATATATACAGAGCCGGTATATATATATATATATATATATATATATATATATAATATTTTAATACTTTTCTTTTTTAAATGTAATTTGGCGATCAAAAATGTTAATTACACATATGCACATCAAATTATCAAGAGCAATATCTATTCATATTGATTACGGCTTGCTTATGAATAAATAAATAAATAAATAAATAAATAAATAAATAGATATTTTAATGTGTACAAATTTTGAGTTTTTTTTTTTAGTTTCGTACCAAGATTTTTAATTTTGAAGTTTATGTATATGGTCCAAACAAATGTCCTCGACATTTTCGGCAGTATGGAATAACCGATTTGTATTATTTAACAAACATTCGGTACTCGATCGCGAGGCGTTTTTGCAAAAAGCACATCCTGCCGTTCCGCAGATATGGAGCGTAAAGGGTATAAAAATGGTCATGCAGTTTTTGAGAGAACGGATATCCGATTAGATTGATTCAAAAAACCTTTTGCTGTGTAGGTTTTACAAACAATTTCGTTGTTTTGAAAATTTTCAAAAAAAAAAATCAAAGTTTTCAAAAAAAATTTAAATTTTCAGAAAACTCAAATTTTTGAAATTTTTCATCATTTTCAAATATATCTAAATTTCGAAAAAATTGAAAAACATCAAAATTTAAAAAAAAACAATTTCTTACAAAAATTTGAGAATATTTCGTAATTATCAAAAAAACAGACATTTTCAAAAATTTCCAAATTCTCAAATAATTTAAAAAAATCGATTTTTTTTTTAATTTCAAAATTATCAAAAAAATCAAATTTAAAAAAAAATTAAAGAAATTTCTTCTAAACATGCACATGAGTTGTTTGTAGAATACGCTCGTCGCCCAATAAGCACATATAAATTTACAGTATGTATTTATAATAAATAATTTATAAATAATTTTAGAAATTATTTAAAACAATTATTGATTATTTTCATTCCTCGAATTTTTAATTACGGTACGGGAAGTTCCAGCAATTTGTCTTAAGGCACGATAACATGCGCTCCACTAGTTTATTAACTTCCCGTAGGGCAAGTTATAGTAATCGAGAAAAATCCAAAAAGAAAATTTTTATATATCTTTACATTTCAAAACCTTCTGAACATTTTGGCATACCTTAGAAAAAATGGATGTATGTGTGTGTGTGCGGATACAAATTTTCGTCGACGATTTCGGGAACGCGGATGAAGCGATTTGAATAATTCAAAAAACATTCGTTTCGTATTGATAAGGAGGCGTGCAGATTAGCTTTTGGCGAAGGCAGGTCTAGCCGTTCCGAAGATATGGAGCAAAAAGTGCCAAAAACGATAACTCAGTTTTTCAAGTAAAAAAAAATGCCATTTGACGGTCAAAAATGATCATTAGACATATGCACATCAAATTATCAGATATTTTATAGAAATTTTAACAATAAATATAAATTTTGTTTACATTCCTATGGATTCCGTACCAATGTTTATCCGTTAGACGGCGACGCGGCGCTTGCACACTTCGATATTTCGTCTCCATGCAGTTAAAGCAGTACGATTGCTTTGAAAAAAGTTCAGAATTTCCAAAATGTTTCAAAATAAGTTTTTCTTCAAAAAGTCTTTTTTTTTTTCAAAAAAAAGTAAATTTTTGTTAAAAATTTATAGTTTCTCAAAAATCTAATTTTTTCAGAGTAAATTTTTTTCAAAAATGTTAATGTTTTAAAAAAAAATAATTTTTGGTACAGGAAGCTCCAGCAATTTGCATTAAGGCACGATGCCATGCACTCCACTAGTTTTATAAATATTATCACAACGAAGAAGTATTTCTCCAGCATCTTTCTCATGTTAGAATTTCCACAGTCAAATTTAAAATTTCGAAGTACAAAAATTCAATTTATACTTCGAAACTTAGCATGACTTTATACATTCATTTTTTAATTAAGATAAGATTGTTTATATATTAGTAGGTACATTATGATTATCATTTATCTCATAGTCAATAAATTTTTGATTTCGAATATCCAGTTTTAATCATTATCGAATCGATGATCATGTTTAATCATAATGGAAGAAAACGTGCAAGGTATTGAGTCAAATAAAACTATTTGAATTTGCAATACGAATTTAATTAGATTTACAATAACATAAGGTTTTAGTTAAGGATTTAAAATCCTTATGACTTTTTATAACTAACAATTTGTTATGACTTCTATAGATTCCACATTTGAATTCACTATTTCATTCATTATTTTTTTAGCACAATATACAAATTGTTTCGAGAAGTCTAATAATTAAGGACATGCACGGTGAATGCCCTAAGCGTGGAGCCCATTATTCCATATTTTAAAGTATAATGAATAATTAACACACTTTTATTGTGTCTATAATATTGTAGGTTGTTTGTTAAAGCAACAAACTCAATCGCTATTTTTTTTTAAGCGGATTACCAAAATCAATTCAGATTTAAACTTTTAACTTATCTGCTAAATATAAAAAATGGCTTTTAAATTTTTGAAATCAGTGCAGTCGTTTTGAGAAAGCTTCACCAAAAACTCAAATTTTGACCCATATACACGGATACATTACTCTTCCAATTTTTGTCAAACGATTTAGAATGAGTCGAAATAACTAAAAAACATAAAATTAGCCCAATTGGAATAATTGACTAGAATATATTCTCATTCGGAAAGTTGAAAATGGGAGGAGATTAAATGACGGTTGCTTTACTAAAGTTATCATTTACAAGTGAATAAAAGACCTTTTCAATTTTAACACCTAGACTGCGGAGGCTTTTGCTTTTCTATGCTGAAATGTTATATTTAAAAAATAGTTTTATTTTCTTCTAATTCTATTTTATTATGAAGTATTTTACCGATATTTAACTTTCCGAAGGAAAAGTTTGTTTATATCAAAAAATCCGACGCGCTTTTATGTTTTTAAGTTTCAAGCAATTCTGAATCGAATGAGACCAAATTTAGAAAAAGTGTGTGTGTATGTGAACAGAGTTTTTACCCTAAATCGACGTTTTCGCAAAAATTTCGATTTGAAATCGGTTGGATCGATTTCATAACTTTAAAAGCTATTCGATGAATCTCGATTAGGACTATCGTTTGTAAGTTTTGCGCGACGATCGGTCAAGCCGTTTCTTTGTAAATCGCAGAAAAGTGAAAAAAAAATTA